GTCCCAGGACCGTCGCGCGACAACCACAGTCCATTACCGTTACCACTGTAGTTTCGCTATATATTCTTCGCTCATGCCTTCGCTCATTGTATTCTTGCTTCGATAGTGCAATTCTCGTTCGTTCACTCCAGGGCCTCAGATTCGTTTTTGGCTTGGCTGATACGTCAGCCTTAGCAGCCAACGTTAAGCTGATCAATCAGAGTTGGTTGTAAAAAAAAAACTGAAAGTTCAGACAAGTATAAAAAAAAAACGCTGACTAATCAGCCTCACTTAATACACTCTGGCTGATCCATGTTGAGCATTTTTTTCATTAAATTTAGCAGGCATAACAGGGAAACACTACACCACATACATGACATTAGCTAGCTGCTCATTTCATCTTCATCACTAGAACTACCTCCTGCATCTCCTACTGGCTCCTCCTCATCATCTACATCTACTGGCTCCTCCTTATCATCTACATCTACTGGCTCCTCCTCGTGCTTGCCCTTCTTGTTCTCGCCTGGGATTGGGGTGCGAATGGGAGCATTGCTGAAAGGCTTGCGCTTTCTGTAACTCCTCCAGATCTCAACTACCTCATCGTAGTTGGGCTTGTACTGCATGAGGGACAGACACATGAGGTCCCCCAGCCTCGCGTCCTTGATCCCCCCTCTCCGCCATGTCTTGATCACGTTTTGCCGAGTGAATCCCCTTTCGCACTCCACAGTGCTGAGGGGAATCACAGCCACCGCCACCCAGAGCTGCACCAGATTGGGGTAGCTCTCCCGCCAGTCTGGCGTCTTGAGGATCGTCGATAGTCTGCTGTGGAAGCCCCTCTCTTCCTTGGGGGCACGTGCAAGGACTGAACAGAAGAGGCGAAGCTCCTTGCCTGCCTGCCTCTTGTTGATGCCTGGTGGGAGGGAGGGAGGGTTAAGATGAGGCACATGACATGAGCAAACAGGTGCACCACAAAGGATTTTCAAGCATGGATACGATATCAAAGGTTCACAAAGGCGCCACAACAGACCTGGCAAGATGTCCTCACGGTCCTGAGCCTTGAACATCGTCACCAGCGACTGAAGCCACTCCAGGCAACGAGCGTTCCGCTCAGACTTGCTTTGTGGCCATGCATCTGGTGTGAACAGGCGGACTCCAGAGAGGGAGTCGAGATCGCCGAGCCTTCCCTCCAGGTTCGCCACGATCCTCTCTGCGAACTCGGTGCACAACTGGATGCACCCGTCGTGGTCCTCCGGGCCGCTGTACGAGTCCACGGGCTCGTCGTGAAGGGTGAACGTGATAGAAGATGGTCGGCCGTCACTGTCGACACCTTCCACCTTCACTTCGCGGCTACACCCCGGGCCATGGCGCAGCAGGAAAGGTGACAGCCACTGGCTCATGCCGCCGCCGAAGTCATCGCCGCAGTCCACGTAGCGGCTCTCGATGTGACGCGTTGTCCGCTTGATCTGCGCATGCAAAGACACCAGATCGAGCTGGACAGACAGAGGCACACAGTGACACAGTTAGAAGGGTTAATGTGGGGACATGCGTAGCTATATTCGCACCACCTCACCTGTTTCTGCTGGAAGGTCTTGTTCAAAATGTTGAGCTGCTCAAGCACATCAGCCAGGAAGTAAAGGAAGAAGTGAAAACGGTAGGAGCTTGCCAGTTTGTACATCTTGCTGTTAAGCTCCTTCGGCAGCACAATCACTGCCGGCAAAACAGCGACAAGGCGACGAACGGCATCCCCCCTTGACAACCACCGAACGGAATGGATGCCTTGCACTTCAAGGCTCGTTTCGGTGATGACTTCCTGCAGGTCCATGAACCGTGCGTGGCGCGGTCCCGACCGACCAAGCAAATCCGCCACTGCCCGGATGAGATCGTCGACCATGTCGAAGACGGGGAGCTCCTCTGCTGCATCCTTCGCTGCAAGTGCCTCCCTGCAAGTACAACATCAAACTCAAGACGTTAAACACGAGCTCGAACCACATGGCGTAACGGGCTGGAAACGTAGCAGCAGAGCTCACTTACCTGTGAGCGATGCAGTGAACGGAGACAAGGTGCGGAATCTTCTGTCGCAGGCGGACAACCAGGCCGGCCTTAGACCCCATCATCACTCTTGCGCCGTCGGTGCTAATGCCAGAAATTCTCTGTAGATCGACACCGACGGACTGCAAGTGGGAAAGCAGGATGCTCAGAAGTGAAGAAGCGTCCGCCTTTTCCACCGTGATCAGCTGCATGAACTCGGTCACGAGCACGTTGTCGCGGATGAACGAGGCATACAAGATCATGTGCTTCCCCCGGAGTCGATCCGTGCTTTCATCGATGCAGATGCCGATGAAAGGGCTTGTCAGGATGTGCTCCAGCTGAGTTGTCTGTAGCCAGGTAGCAAGGGTCTGCGTGAGCTCACCGAAGCCGTACCTACACGCAGGGAAACCAAAGACAAGAGATTAGAAGAGGGTTTAGGGTTGAACATCAAAACATCAACGCAATACAAATGTGGCTACTACTCACGTTGTATAGTAGGTGCCATATCCCTTCTTAGGGTAGCCCTGGACACCCTTACGCGCGAGGTACTGCACCAGCTTCACCCATGTTCCCATTGGCGCATCGCAGGAACTGACGAACAGCATGGAGTCGAGCAACGCCACGACGCGGTTCTTCTCAGCATCGATGGCGGCTCGATGTTGGTCGATCCGTGGCTGCTTTGAGGCCGCGTTCAGCAGAGCCTCTTGCTTCTCCATCGTCAGCCTGTGTTTCGTCGTGCCGGCGTGCTTGCGAAACGCCTGCGTCTGCACGTCGGTCGCCCCTCGCCCTGTCCGGCCACATCGCCCCCTGACTCCGGCATGCTTGGTGCAGACACTGCACTTAAAAGCAAGGAAACCAGATTTAGATTTGGTTAGCACAAGCCACGGGAACCTCTCAGACCACTTGGTTTTGTACTTCAAAAGAGCGTCTGCATAGACTGCCTCGATGGCCTCTGAAATGTCTATGACCAAGGATGGAAGAGGGGCTGTGTTGTTCGCGACAGGTTGCTCGACGGCGGTGCTCGAAGAAGGTTTTGCCCAGCTCAGCGTCGACTGCTTGAGCTTGAAGTTGCGCGGGCCAGTGGACTTTGTTGTTGGCGAGTCGAGAACCACCGTGTCGGAGACGGCAGCCGGCGCAGCAGGCTCACCCCGGATGGAATCCGAGCTTGAAGAAACCGGTGGGTGGTCGCGGTGCACCCTCTCGACTAGTGCTGGCTTTGCAGTAGGAAGCCTGGGAGCGAGGACACCAGGGGCAAGCGAGCGCAGGAGCATATCAAGCCCCGTCCTGGCTTCCTCTAGGCCGTCTAATTCAACATCGCTGCCTGCATCATCATCGCAACCTACGCCTTCTGCAAGGCCGGCCATGGCTGAAAGGGGAGAGCGTGCCGAGCTCCAACGTTGCTAGCTAGGGTTTGAGAAAACCAGGGCGAGAGGCGTGGATTGACAGTGCAGCTCGCCTAGGGGGTGGGTACGGTGGGGTCATCAAGAGAGAGCCATAAAAGAAGGCCCTCTCATTCTCACCACCCATCAGCTACGCGGCGCGACGAGGGGGCACCATGCACGCACTTAGATGCAGGTTCGGGGTGGGTGAGATGGGGTGAGGTGGGTGTCCTTGTCGTGAGTGCGTGCGGTGCGTTCCTGTGCTGCACTGGTGGCGGGTGATTGGCGCATAAGGGATGTGATTGGTTTACCAACGAATCACATATATTTAAGCATTCTGTCGGTGACAACGAAGCAAACGACGAGTCGGAAATTCGTTTTCCCCCCGCGTCGGCGCTGTACATGGCAAATTTTGCGTGATTGACGGTCGATGAACCTGGACAGCCGAAACTCACGGCTCCTGCACGAATCTGTAATAGCGTGAATTCAGCCTACACTCTCGTTACAAGTCTGATAAATCAGCGAACACTTGTAAAAAAACGCTGAATAATCAGCCAAAACTTAAAAAAAGAAACCTGAACAATCAGCCAACACATTAAAAAAAAAAACTGAACTTTCAGCCAGCACATCGCCCACATGTCTGTGAAATCAGCGTCCAGACCCTAAATCAGCCTTTTTTCGCTGACATCTGAGGGCCTGGTTCACTCAATTGCACTCGTAAACAACTACAGCTATATAATTTCCGTCAGCGCTTTGTATGGTGAGCGTGTAGCACAGCGGCTCGGTTTTGGTAGGAGTGCAGAAGGCCTGGCTTCGATACTTGAAACACTGAAAGTTGTATTAATAAGACCCCTGACTGCCCAGAGCATATTTTTCAGAAGTTAAGTTTTCTCTGACAAATCAGAGTAACGCTCATAATGAATCCTGAATTTCAGAGTTCCCTAGAAAACAGCTCTGGAAATAAAAAAAAAAGCCCTGCATGGAGCTATCACTGGTCTTGTAATGTGAGGAGAAGCAGCGTGGTGTGCCTGCCTGGTGTTTTGCGTTGTCTCCAATGGTTGTTTGTTCCCGTCTTGATCCTACCATAACCTTTTGGTTGTAAGTCTCACCACCAACCAAGTCACAATAAGAGTGGCGCCATATGCATGCATGCAACATTACCACAGGACAGGAAGCTACGATATTGTAGTACATAACACACCATACATGCATGTAAGAAAAGAGAGTAAAGGTCCAGCTTAGCCTCATTCAGATTGCGGTACTGTTTTTATAAGCAGGCGAACCGTCACCCAACCCAAGGTTGATAATTCGATGCCAGGGGTAGGGCAACTACCATAACTAGCATGCAGTGCAGAAAGAGGACAGATGAACGTGGGAGTGATTGGCTAAGGAGACTCCGCACCAAAGGATGGAAAGCAGCGTGACGTGACAACCAAAGGAGGACGACAGGGCGCAGCAGCGTAGGAATGTGAGGAGAGATGGATGTGATGGAATGAATGAGTGGATGAGGAAAAAGAGGAGGGGTTGGGGTACAAGGCAGAAGACAGAAGGTGGATTTTGAAGGGAGAAGGATAGAGAGTGAGAGACGGGGAGAGTGGGAAGTTGGGAAGCAGCTTAAAACAGGGGAGGCTCCTCTGTTCGCAGTTTTGCTGGCGATGCGGACACGGCTGGAGCAGCAGCAGCAGCAGCAGGGCCAGGCGAGAAAACATCATCCATGAGAGACCCGGCCGGAGCAGGTGTGGGGGCAGGCGCAGGAGCAGAAGCAGCAGCAGCAGCAGCAGCAGCAGCGGCGGCAGCAGCAGCAGCATCAGATGATGCAAAGAGAGGAGGGCCGTGGTCCTCCAACGCCCCAGAAGATGACAGCCCTGCAACACCACCTGAGCTTGTTGCACTAGCAGCAGCACCAGCAGCAGGACCAGGCGTATCATCATCAAAACCAGCACCCGAGACGGCACTGTAACCGCCGGGAGCAGAGGCCGAGCCATCGCCGAGAGAGACGGTTGGAACCTCCCCACGCTCCTCCTCTGCTTGATGCACCTTCTGTAGGGTCTGCTGCTTCACCTCTCCAACAATCTCGCCGAGCTTCCCAAACGCCCCGGCTAACCAGCTGGCACTGGTAGCCACATACTGGTTCTTCATCAAATACTGCCCGGCCTCGGAAATTGAGGCTTCCGCTACAGCCGCTGCCCCCCGGGCAGTTTGCGAAACTTTGTACTGCTCGTCGACCGTCGTCCAGGAGCGTGCCACCGTCTCCTTGGTCTCGGAAAACTTTTGCGAGATGGCGTATTTCTTGTCGAGCGTGGCAGCAGTTTCGACCGTCCGTTCTTTCAGAGCAGCGACCTGGATGGCCGCTGTACGGCTGAGATCGTGCTTGGAGTCAAACTCCTTGGCCTTGCTTGCTGCGTCCTTCCCTAGAATGTAGCCTGAGGCGAGAAGGGAAGCCACTACCCCCTCTGCAGACTTCATGTCGGGGGCTGTGAAGCTAGAAGTTAAAGAACTGGCAGGAGACTGCTCGGGAAGAGGGAGGCAGGGGTAAGCAGGGGGGAAGGTAGGGAGGAGAGAAACAGGGTAGGTGTGAGAAGGGAGTGGATGGGGTTTGGAGGAGAGGGATGTTGTGTTGGTACGACTCGAACTTGCCTCTCAGATCGAGCATCTGTGGTCACTTTCTCCGCCTCTTCTCTCTCCCTTTCTCCATCAACATCCGTTTTCATATCATGTGTGAAACCCCCACCCCTTCGAAAGCAACGTACCCCGCACAAAGCGACCCTTTAAAAGCAAGCACCACAGCTCATCTCCCCATTCAAGTACCGCACCGCACCTCCCCATTCAAGCACCGCACCGCACCTCCCCATTCAAGCACCAGGGTAGGTGTGAGAAGGGAGTGGATGGGGTTTGGAGGAGAGGGATGTTGTGTTGGTACGACTCGAACTTGCCTCTCAGATCGAGCATCTGTGGTCACTTTCTCCGCCTCTTCTCTCTCCCTTTCTCCATCAACATCCGTTTTCATATCATGTGTGAAACCCCCACCCCTTCGAAAGCAACGTACCCCGCACAAAGCGACCCTTTAAAAGCAAGCACCACAGCTCATCTCCCCATTCAAGTACCGCACCGCACCTCCCCATTCAAGCACCGCACCGCACCTCCCCATTCAAGCACCGCACCGCACCTCCCCATTCAAGCACCGCACCGCACCTCCCCACTCAAGCACCACACCGCACCTCCCCATTCAAGCACCACACCGCCTCCCCATTCAAGCACTGCAGATCCCCAACAAGCACCGCACCTCCCCAAGCAATCTCCGCATCTTCCCTAAGGCCAACTACCTGCGCGGATACAGCTCGCTGCACCTCCTGTGCCACGTGAGAGGCTCTCTGAGGGGCTTCGTACCCCTCCGCCACCTCCACTATGATTGGCTCGTCCACAATCACCGCGCCCTGCTTGGGCGAGGGCGAGCGAAAGCGCAACAGCCATGGGAAGGAGGGGGAGGGCGAGGGGGGAAGGAGGTTGGGTGGGGGGGAGAGGGAGGGAGGGGGTGGGGAGGGAGAAAGGGAGGGGGAGAGGAGACGGGGATGACAAGAAGCACTAGTTTAAGGGGGTCGGGGGAAGGGGTGTGGGGAGAAGGGGAGGCGGGGACGGGGGGGGGACGGTGAAAGGCGCCAAGGAAAGGAGGTGCTATGTTATTGAGTTGGCAAAAAAGCATCTCAATTGGAGACGATAGAAGTTCAGGCACAGGATGACGTCAGAGGCGACGCACGCAACGACCGGAACTGCAAGGGATATATACAGTCCGTGAATTCCGGCGTAAAATCTTCGTACCGTCAGAAGCAGAGCTGTTTCCAGCGCTCTCTCATCCGCGAACGTCACGTACGCCACCTGGCCCTTCTTCAGATCCCTGTCACCCGCGAAACAGTGAGATGAAACGGGCTTAGCGTGAAAGAGGAACGTCGACCGACGGACTTCTGTGTGACCAGATGCCTGATCAAGAAAGTGATTTCAGAGCCATTGTTGTTGCAAGCGGACGTATAAGGAAAATAAATGGCTGTGAATTCACCTCGATACCATAAACGAGCTGCGCGAGAAGCTCCTTCCAGATTACCGTCACTAGGCATTCTATACCGAATCGCGTGGAATAGTTTTTTCGAAGGATAAAAAACGGTTGATCCGATTCGATCCAATCCGATCCGTTCCGAATCTCGTCACATTGTCCGATTAAGATCCACTTGTGGGGTTCAGGCAATGCAGCTGCTTCTCCCACTTTCGCTCTTTCCTCAATGTCACTGCATCCAACTGACCGATGCTATTCATGTCTCGGATACTTACGTTTTCGTCTCAATGCCAGTGATTTCTCCGGAGAAGGAGAAGAACTCGTAAATGTCCTTCTCAGACGCTTTGTAGGAGATGTTGGATGCCTGGATTGAAAACTGCAAGCGGATGGATAGAGAAGGAAACAATGCCATGTAAGGGGTGGAGAGGGGTGAAACTCGAGGAAGTTATGGAATGTGGAAAGACGGCGAGGGAACAGGATGAGGAGGAAGATGCAGGTAGAGGGAGACCCGGAGAAAATTGAATCAGAATCGGTAAATGAGAAAGCCATAGAATTAGAAATAATAAAATAAGGGCTGGATGACGGAGCGTACCCCCATAGTGTCTGCCTAGGTTATGAGACTTGACGCGAGACGGGAAGCAGGCCGGCGGCCGATAAATAAGAGAGCACTCTCGTTCGAGGCCGTCACGTCTATGTGAGACGAAACGTTCGGGAATGCTTTGCCAAAGTTTCCCAGTTACACTGAATCGTTTGAATACCAAAGACCACAGCAGGATCTTAGGAATCAAGGGACGGCTCTCTGCTTCCCCGCAAATCGCGGAACAACGACTAGATGAACCACCAGTGCAACAAATGCTCAAGGGTGAATATTATTTCGAACGTCAGCTGAGGTGACTGACCACCTCTCTAGGGTGGAAATGTGCTGGTGTGATACTTGCTGGTAGGTGGCTGCGATTATCAATCACAGACATTACAACCTCTTACCGTACAGTAATGCAATTCACCGTACCGTACTGTGCCGAAATGTGAAAATGCCGATGAGCGGGCGATGTGTCGCGCGAAACCAAGAGGCGGGAAATGAGCTAGTGTGCTTCCACAGAGGGGGGGCGGAACGGAAGTTGGGAGAGCGGAAAATGGAAGAGCGGAAGCGCGGAAGTGGCAAGGTGAGGGGAAGCTGAGCTTCGGGATCACTGAGAACCAGCCAATAGTGTGCAGGCTTGGAACACAAATCTGTGGGTTTGGTTTGTATTGATTGGCTCGGTACTGCCAGTTTGATGGAGCATCAAAACGAAGCAACCTTACGAGACTCCTATCGAGGCAGTATTGAAACACACCGCGCCACTCTATATGACTCGTAAAAGACAGTCCCTGTAAGGATTTACAAATCCTTAATGAGGCACTCGTTATCGAGGCAATCCCGAGGGTCACGCGACGAACCTTTCCTTCCTATTTCGTCGCACCGAACCACTCCCGAGTCGCCTCCGCACCAATCGCAACCATCACCGAACCACTCCCGAGTCGCCTCCGCACCAATCGCAACCATCACCGAGCCATCCTCGCCCAACCTCTCCGCCTAGCTAGGACTTCCCCTATTTAGGCCTCGTCACTTGCATTGTATCGTAATTCAGAAATTCAGTAATCAGTTCATTCTCGTTATTCGATATTCTGCGCACTCTGCAAGTTCATTCATAACAGTCCCTATGTACAATTACACTACTTGCAACATATCAAAACAAGAGGGACACGCATTGCTACAAACCCCTATCGCCAATCCCACACCAACCTTTAGCATTTCAAAACGTTTCACAAACAAGCTTTGTACATCCCAGCACCTGTACGGACAAGCTTCTTCTGTACTCCAACCACTACTCCCTACACTATGCTCAGCATCAATGCAGGTCCTTTAGTGGGGGAGCAGATGCGGATGGAGAATCAGCCTCAGCCATCTCCTCCTCCCGATCACTTTCTTCACCATCATCCTCCCCGGTTATTTCTTTTTCGAACTTCAGTTGCAGCAGCATGGCTGAGAGGATAGCAGTATACGCAGCTACCTTGGAGAACCGCATTGTGTGGCCGCTTACGAATGCTGCACCATGGGGAGCATTGGGGGCAGGGGATCGAATGAGGGGGATCTCGGGAACGAAAGAGAGGGATGGTGGTGGAGCAAGAGGCCTGGACCAGGGCGTTTTAAGCTCAAAACCGCATGAGCCGCATGAAAAAACTGGTGTTTCTTTTCACTGATACTGATAACAAATCAGGGTCAGCGCAGCCTTCCACACCAGCCTGGCTCCGCAAAGCAGAACATCCATTGCATGGAAAGGAAAATAAAAGAAAATCGGGGAGACGGTGTGGGGGGGAGGGGGGGGGGGAGAAGGCGTACCAGTTGTGGAGCTCCAGAGGAAGGACACTAGCACGAGCGAGAGGCCAGCATGGAGAATCCGTCTGTACATGGATACCCCTCCGTCCGTCCCCTCTCCACTCGCCCGCCCCTCCTGTTCCATCTCGCCGTCACAACCATCATCCCACAATCCCTCATCCCCATCCTGTGTGTTAATCCTGTCGGAGATAAGGATTCCATTAGATCGCTCACCCCCAGCACCACCACCGCCGCCACTACTGCTGCCACTGCCGCTGCTGATCTTGCTCGCTGTTGGAGAGTTCTCAAAGAGAGAAGCCTCTGCAGCAGTGGCAGACATGGCTGTTGCTGCAGCAGCAGTTCGGGACTTGGCCGCGCGGGACTGGCGAAACGCAGGGGAGGACGGAGGCGCGGAGGAGGAGGAGGAGGGGGATGGGCGGCGACTGAGGGGTCGGCGGCGGCGGGAGGAGAGCGAGGAGGAGGAGGAGGGGGAGTAGAGGTTTTTAAAGAAGAGCCCCTCGTTGCGTGAGGAGTATACGCGTCGCTCAAACTCCTCAAAGTCCTTCTCCTGGGCCTGGAGGGGAGGAGAGGCAGGGAAGGGAGCAAGAGGGAGAGAGGTGGGAGTTCGCGAGTGAGGGAGTGGGTGCAACGGGTGTCTTTAAGAATCTATTGTGGCCGTAGTAAATGGGATTGTGATCGTCTTCATTATTGATGTCATGCGTCCACCTTCATTTTTTTATCTTTCATAAACCTCGCAACCCCCAAACCCCGACTCAGACGGAATCAAGATGCAATCCACAATTTGATTTCGGAATTTTTCTTCAAAAGCTCTAGAAGCCGAAACCGTTGCCACGCAGCATGCAGCTAGGAAAAGACGAAGGACGAATAAAGGATCACAGGGCAAGGTAGGGTTGGATAGGATAGGGTCCGGTAGAGTAGGGTTGGGGAGGTTGGGGTAGTGTAGGTGTAGGGTAGGACGAGCGAGCTCACCTCCATTTCCTGGCGTGCTTTCTCCAAGTCTCTCTCGATGGCGTATGCCCCCGCGTCCAGCTGACGCAGCACCTGTCGGTGGATGCCACGTGGAAACGTGCAAGTCATAAAAAAAGAAAGTGGTTGTTGTGAGAAAAGGAAAGCGCCAGAGCGCGCGAGACATCACAGAGGCCAAGACGTTGAAACAAAGATTCACTGGTCCAGATTTCGACAGAAGCACCACGATGACTGACGCAACACCCACCCCGTGGCTTCGTGGCGCGAGAGGATGCGTGGAAGCAATTATGACGACGCATCATCTACCACGCTTCCGCGACGTCGGCGATGACGACGGCGACGAGGACGAACGACGGCGACAGGCGACAACGACGGTGATGATGATGAATCGCCGATGCCCACGACTCCTCACGACAACTCGCGACGACTTGCGACGACTCGCGACGACTCACCCTGTCGCTCAGATCGTCGACGCCTTTCATGGTGCGATCGGCGATGCGATCCAGCTGCTCGTGGCTATCGCGCGCGATTCTCCTCAAGCGCGCCGAGCGCTCCTCCACCAGCGAGTTCATCCGCACCTCGCCCATCTGCGAACACAGTCGCCGTGCGACGCCGTGTGCGTCAGAAAGAAACGACGTAAGCGACAGGGGGTAGCGAGCACGTTCCTCAAATTCGAAGCGAACAAAGAAAGAGGGAGAGGAAGAAAGATTACGAGAACAAGCAAGCGAGATGAAGAGATGAGTTACCTCGATGAGGAAAGTTCTGGCAAAAAAATCAAGTAGCCTTACCTGGAGCCGCACTATATCCACCAGCATGCGTTGAACCTCGTCGCTCCTCCTCGATTCTTCGCCCGCGTCGTCCCACCCCCTGCTCCGACGACTGCCGGCGCTGACGACGAGACTCCGGCGATCGCCTCGGGTTTCGTTGGCGCCGCCGTGCGACGGATTGCGAAAGCCGCGACGATAGGCGCGGCACGCTGGCGAGGCCAGTGCGAGAGGTAGTCGGAGAATCTTGGATTCCGACGGCACGAGGTGATGCGACGAGTGTAACGACGCGGTGGCAGCGGCGGTGGCGGCTGCTGAGCTTCCCGAGGCACCCGATAACGAGGACGTAGTGTACACGCGGCTGGTGGTGTAACTGGTTGCGGAAATAGATTCCATGGCGGCGGATCAAGGTGAGAGGAAACGGACAAGTGGCCAACGGGCGAGTGATTGCGTCTGGAGTTGCCGGTACGTTGGAGGTGCCTCGTTGACTCGAACCGTTGAAGGTGCCCGTTCTTGAAGTTCTCGCGAGTTGTGGCTTAAAGAACTCTCACCGTAGGTACTTCGCCTCGAGCGTTTGTTTCGTCGGAGAGAAACGAGACGTGTTGCCACAAGATGGGCTACCAGAGCGGGATGCGCACGGGATTTGATCGCGCCGCGGCTGGGTGTTTCTGCTCCTCACTCGGAACGGCTTGGAAGGCGAGATTCCTCCGAGCAAACCCGCATGTGCTTCCGAAACGCGTTAGAATCGTTTTAAAATTCAGTTGAGAGGTCCGGGGCACGGGCTGTGAGGCGTGTCTAAGAGTCCCAACTTGTTGAAAAACCGCGAGGAGCCAGATGTTTCCCAAGTTTCACCTCCTACGTTACTCTTCCACACAAGGAGACAGAAGACAAACCGCGACCGATGAGAACGAGTGGAATTCGCAAGGAGACTTCGATTACTAGGTTCGAAGACCGAGGGAGAGTGACTGACTATGCAATCTAGTTGAATCGTAGTAAGCAAGAGGATCCACGGAGGCGTACGAGATGGCGAGTGCAACGAACCACACGGCACGGATGGAAACGAAACCAAGGCAGAGGTGCAGCAAAATCAGCAGCTTGTGGAAGATCAAGAATAGTTGAGAGGTGCAATGAATCGATCAACTGGGACAAAGACTCAAGATACAACGGAGGGACGCAGCGTGCAAATGAGCGGTTGAAGGTGAGCAAAGGGGTTGAAGGGAGAACTTCAGGTTGGTGGTTGGGAAGAACGAGAGCACGAAGGGAGGAATTCGAGCGTCCAGATGAGTGCGCAAGGAAGATGTTTCTCCTTTGAAATCCCAACCGAATGAACTGGGAAATCATCAGCCCTAGCATGGCACATTGTCACGGAAACGCGCTTCGGGAGGGCCTTTGCTGAATATAATGTTGTCAGGGCGTGTTCCCATGAGAGATTCCTGGTTGTTTAGAAAAAAACATGCTCAGAGAGCCTTGCATTTACTACTGCGCGCCGTC